AACTTGGCCATTTTGATATTTTCGACATGCTTTTTCCATTTCTGGCATTCGTTAAGTTATAGCCCATAATTTTATGAAAAATAGGTCACGTGATGGCTTTGCTGCAAAGGGCTTATTTCTATAGCTTTGCTTGGATGTAACGATCTTGGCCGTTCGGTGACCTCTACTTTTCTTTCCAGAAACAGATTTTATTTACAGTTATCTCCACATGTCCAAAAATAAACAAAAAGTCAATGTGGGAAGTAAACAAAGTTTCAAGATTTCTGTCCACGGGACATCGAATCCTGCAATCTTGCAGCTGCAAGGCGCATGAAACTATGGTCGCTAAATGCGAACTTGGTCTTAAAGTAACCTTACTAGTTGACTAAATTCACTTAACAGGTCCACTTAAACAATATTTGGCAGAGAACATTTCACTTTAATGTACTAGTTACAATATTTTTGGGCTTACAGACACTGTGGCCGTATTCAATAACGAAGTCCTATTTTTTCAGATTTAGGGTGTTCTTCCGGGCATGTTCTCTCCAAAACAAAGTCGGTGACTCCCCATTTTTTTTTACATTTCTGACATAATTCACTCGTCATCCTACAGTGGTAAAAGTCTCAGAAGAAAAATCGATGTTGAAATGTTTTCGCGCGAACGTCTTTAAGGTGGCTCCCTATAGTTTACGATCGCACGCGCGCTGAGGACGAAGGTTCAAGTAATCTGTGCGCGCTCGAAGGAAAACGTCAGTGTTTTTCGATATTTTATGACGTCAACATGAGCACAAAAAGCAAAACTGACAGTGAAGTTTTTCGCGTTTCCTTCGGTGAAATTTCGTAAAATTCGGTAGTACATATCTTACTTTAGTCGGAGCTCATTTTTGAAGGAAATCTATAAGACCAGTTTTCTGGCTGGGGTAAAAGACGTAAATTTGCAAAAATCGAAAAACCTGCCTTAACAAACCCTACTTCTTTCGTGTTTAAAATTCGTATCCCGCAGGATGCGATGTATGCTGTGAAAATTTTGGAAGATTTCAGCGAAGAAATTTCAAGGAAATCACAAATAAAGCCATAAAAAAAGCAAAAAAACACATTCGTTTGGGCTTTTATAATTTAAGACTAAAACCCATAATTTTAACAGAGATGATAGTAAAATACTATTTAATGCAATAAGTTTGAAACGACTGGGTGTAAAAACGAATGGAAAAACGGCATTCAAAACATAACACGTGCGCGCGCAATGCCATAAATGATTACCCTATGAAGCCACCTTAAGTGGCTGGCCATCTTGAATATTTTAGTAGAACGAAATCTGAGGAGAGGGCGAGAAGTTTTTTCCTTCCCTCAGATTTCGTTCCCACAAGTATTCAAGATGGCCAGCTACAAACAGTCTAGTTTTCGGTTTTGGTCATTTTTAAGATCAGTTTTTCAGTTTTGCACTTACGATATCCGGTTTTTCGGTTGTGGTATCTGTTGCAGTTTTCCTTTCTTAGCATTTCGAAGATAAGAAAAGTTGATAACTCACTTGCCTACTTCCAAGGGCTTCTGTATTCGCTTGAAGATTAGAATCATCTTCTAAAAAGTGAAAGAGAATGAGATTTTTGCCTGGAAACAGCCATCTAACTGCCNTGCTTCTCTGGAAAATCTAGGGTTAAAACAGGTTAAAGGGAAGGCAATAATTTCAACTGAAGATGGTCTCGATCCCTCAAAAATAGAAACGCACACATCTTTTGTTTCTGTATTCAAGTTTATGAGTTTGCAGTTTTAATCATCATGTTCGGCAGTTTTTCGGATTTGGACGATTTTTCGGTTTTCAAGATATTTCGAGCGGTCTTCCGGTTTCTAGTAGGTCCCATTACCCTCCTCCTAGTTTTTTTTTTTCCTGCCTCTCTGTGGAAAACAAAAGAAAACGCGCGCCTGATTCCCACACCACTCTTGGACTCAAGTAAGAATCAGAATGACTTCGCGAAGTGACCAGTTCTGTAACAACATAAAATTGTATCATAAGAAAAGCGAACAAGATCAGTTTTATGATTTTGTAATCAAAGACACGGATGGCGCAGAAATCAGATCTCACAAGTTCATTCTTGCCTCCCAAAGTGAGTACTTCGCCGCATTGTTTCGCACAAATCCAAATGCCAGCGAAACGACTTTCAAAGATTTCTCCATCGATGTCATCAAGGAGTGCGTCGAATATTTTTACGGTCTTGAGCTGAACTTGACTAGTGAAAATTTTCAAGATGTGCTGATGTTTGCTGACTACATCACTCTTAGAGAAGTGATCGCTATTTGTATTGACTATATTCTCGAGAATATCGACGAGTCTAATTATGCTTCTGTAATCGACCTTGGTAACAGGAGGGAGATGTTCAGTTTAGTCGAGGCAGGAGTTTTGTTCGCCCTGAGAAACCTCACACGAAGTATCGATAGTTTTGACGAGCTCACCAAAGCGATGATTATAAAAGTTGCTGATCAACAACAGCAGATACCGATCAAGATGACAACGGAGCAATGGAACATCAATCGACTGAAGAAATTTCTGGCGGCACCGAAAGAAGAAATTGTCTTTCAAGCTCGTGGTTCTTCAGTTTACGAAGGCGATTTAAATAATTTTGCACCCAAATTAGCCATTAACGGCCAAATTTCGAACAGACATGTAATTTATTTCCACTCGAAAGGTGAGATGAATCCATGGCTAGAGGTGAAGTTCCCTTCCCCTGTGCTAATCTCGGCAGTGACCATTATCAACCGTAAGGATGGCTGCTGGGAAAGGCTAGTAAATGTGGAGATCAGAGCTGGAATGGCTCCTGTCCCTGACGGTTTCACAGCCCAGGAAAGAGGAGCCGATGCTAACAAGATGCTGGATGTCAACTCCAGGTGCGGATTCTTTGCCGGTCCACCCGATAGGTTTACAGAGGAGGGACGTCATCTTCTTTGACCGGCCAATTCTGGCACAGTACATCACTCTGCAGCTTCTGGGGGCTGGATATTTACAGATTAATGGCCTCAAAAGTAACGGAGGTGACTTACTAAATTATGATAACCGTTTTTTATTTATTCAACTGTACCGGGATCTCTGGACAGAAACTAATTTTTAGAGATCAGACAATATCGATGGTAACTCAAATTTCAAAAGATAGAAAAGTTCTAATTAGTTCTAAATGAAGATTAGAGATTTTTAAAGAACACCGGAGCATGTTTTAAGAACGTTTGAGCGAAAATCTTAAATACTTAGATTTTCTTCCCATCTGTACTTTTATTGCGGTTAGATTAAGAATTGAACTATCAAACAGAACTGCATGGCGTCTGTATTGCGTTACAATGTGCGCTATACTTTTCAATGGCAGAAGAAGGTTCATTTAAAAACATTGTGATTTTTTTGTTTTATTTTTCATCAACAAGAATATAAAATGTTCTTATCTGGTAGTTTTGTTGCAACACTGACGTGTAGGAGTTACACAGAGCAGACTACACATAACCAAGAGTAAATATCAATGGTTCATTTTTACTGAGCTGGTCATTTCATATATCTTTGCAATGAAAATACACTTGTATTATGATGGCTATTTTAAGATTGCAAAGAAGCATGTTGTAGGTCGCATAAAAAGGCATCTGGCAAAGTTCAGTCGCCTTTGCAACCACTAGCGCCGGAGTCACGCACGAGAAGTGTTTCGTGACTTCGACGCGAGTTGTTGTAAAGGAGACTAGGCAAAGTGCGAAGAGTGCATCCACCTGGGACACTGAGTTTCCTGTTTTTCCGGTATCAGCTCGACCTTTCTCCATTAGCACATCAAGGGTATCACGTGATAAAATCTGAGATGAAGGAGGCGCGAAAGGCCGGAAACTGGATACGACGGCGATGCGCGGGCAACCTTGTTCCCAAGGTCTCTTCCTCCTCTCATCTTCCCTCCTCGCTCCGGAGGGCGAGAAGATGAAAGACTCTGGGAAATAAGGTTAATGCGCAGGCTTGACCGGTAGATAACTTGAAATGGCAAGCACCACATTGCGGAGCTGTGGCCTTATTCAATAACGAAGCCCGATTTTTTCAGATTTAGGGTGTTCTTCCGGGCATGTTCTCTCCAAAACGAAGTCGGTGACCCCCCC